GAATAACCTCAACACTTGTTCGTTGAACAGAAACCTTTGCAAAAAGCAGGGTCCATTGGAGAGTAAGAAACACGAAGGATGGTCTGTTATCAAGTTACATGAACATATTGAATACAGTGTAATTACGGTGATTCCGGGCTAGAAAAATGTTTGGCGGTCCGTGCTTGTCGTAACAGGCTAACGAGATCGGTAGGTCAGGCTCGCTGACTTGGGTGATGCATGACATTGCATGCCTGTTATGTAGATATGCTGGATTTTCTGGACCAGGCTTCAGAATGAAGAGTAGTCCACAATTAAGGTGACAAAGATTACTCAGGGCACAACATCTAAAATGTAGTCGTCTATGGTATTAACGATTGATCGCGGTCTCAGGACTTGGATTGTGGTCACCTGTAAAAACACGGATGAAGCCCTGTCTGTATCAGAGGAGGGGCACTCTCTGGCGTGCGGTGTGAATGCCGTGGTCACCCGACATGAGGCTTCAGTGGCTGTTTGAGAGGGCGATTAAGATGAGCAGGACCTAACGTCGCTTTAAGCAATGCTTCATCGAGATGACCTGCACATGTTGGGAGTCGAACCCGGGACGTCGGCGATATGAGTCAAAACGTTAACAGATGGACCACCCCCGCCGCTCCCAGTCCGAATCTGCGTTAATGAACGCACACACCTGTATGATGAACATCAATCTGCATTCCAACATCCGCCCGTGACGTAAGGACAAATTGCCATGTCATACCTAAAGGAAACACTGTGTTACTCCTTGATTTACAGACATGTGTTGATGAAAACCAAAACTTCTGCGGTCCAAAAGAGAATACCAAGCAACAGCTTTTAAGATAGTATGCATGATGAAATAAATCAATATAATTGGTTCTTCACAAGAAATGATTTGGGTCTTCAAAGGACACAAGTTTAAAGTTATCGCCCTTCCCAGATGGCGGGTGTATGTGACATGATGTTTGGTGTATGTGATGGGTATGATGGGAGTGCGGGTGTGATGGGTGTGATGGGAGTGCGGGGTGGGGCTAGTACAGTGGGATGTAGCAGTTGCTATGTGGATGGATCATAGACGCTGCCACGCCCTCTTTATCTGTCCCCGCGTATGAAATGTACACCCGTCATGCATCACGTCCGGGTATCGTCACTAAAATGAGCAAGTCAACCACTCATTAAGCCTCGTGGCTGTATAATTATACCACACACCACAACAGCCACGTTTCGACTCTCAGGAAGTGTGTCGCCTTCAAGTCATAAACAGCGCTGAACCGTTGAGAGCGACATGTTTGACAAGATGTGTTCACTGGAATGACATTACTTTTTAACTCGTATAACACATCAAGTAGCTGTGACGTCATGCACGTTACCTTGTCACATGGTTAACGAGGCCCGTGTGTTAGATCACTGAAGCAGCCCAAGTATTCTACACCTTATATATTCTGTCATACTCTCGAGGACTCACTAGTCTTTCAGCTCTTTATATAGTGAAGATGTTTTGAAACGTGTTCTATGTCGTCAGAGAGAATTTAACAAACACTGAGAGTTAAATGATACACAACCCAGGGGTCGACACGTTGTGCTCGTAAACCTGCATGAGTGTTGGGTGATGTTATTGAAAGGCCATAATGTCAGGGTGTCCCATGACTGGGTGTAAAACACACCTTCGTGGCCTTGAACGCCATCAGCCGCAGTAGGTATCAACGCGGCGTTTCTTAAAGCTTCAATAAGTGGTTATCTGGAATTAATACGTCTCAGAGCGACCTACGTCCCTTGGTGCAAACAATGCTGTATTATTTCACTGGATTAACCGCACAAAGTGTTTGGCTTCGCTCGTCGTTCGGCGCAATCTTGATATAATGACTTGACGAAGAGGGATTGAAGAGGCCACTTGCGGCAGACCCATAACCGGAAACTATCTGCAGATTACAGAGACTGGAGCGGGCTTTTGTACCTGGTGACAAATTAGCGAGATTAACAGATTAAAGACATATGCTTGGATCCTCAAGCACGACAGCCGTGCCGAGTAGGCCATAAACTACCTGGCGGTAAATAACAAGGTAGAGAAGGTAGAAATGATAAATTTCAGCGTTGGATCTGTGACACAGGTGTTGCATAAAAACTTCTCACTGGTCGTATTGTGTTTTAAGTATGAGAAAATCCGGACAGGACCCATTGGAACACACGCTAGATTACTGACGCCGCACCTGTGAAAAAGCGCGCGATAAGAAGCAAAAGAACTTTTTGTTCAATGAATTCTATTGTGCTCTCATGAAGAACAGATCATAAAGCCTCTTATGTTTGAATTTTAAAATTATCAGTGTACATAATCAGGGTTGACAATTGAAGATCGTTATCGCGTCCGTCCCATGGATATTCAGAGACAGACAAGACCCCAGTACCCCGTTCGGGTGGTCATGTATATGTCAAGCAATTCCCCAGTACTGTGATGGGTTTCGTAAATTGTCCAGCCCCGTGATGGGATTCGAACCACTGACCAAAGATCAGCAGGTCCGTGACTGAAATCCCAACAGAAAACTGAGAAGTAGCGCCTGGAACATGGCCCCTATATTGGCGCCCAGTGAGTCTGCGCCATGACCATCATGATGGAGGACCTCTCTAGAGACATATGTTGTTAGCTATCAACGTGCGCAGCCCCAGGTTGTGTATCACTGTAGCGACCATACAGGTGTTGAGTCCTGTGATGGAATCCGAACATCTTATAGATTTAATCAATTTAATTGTAGTTGAGAGTAGACAGTCTAGGTGATACTAGAGCGTCTGCTCACGTCTCAGACTGTACACCGGCTGTTTGGGTTCATCCCCATTGTCAACAGCAGTGTGTTTTACTTGCCAACTGAATACAATGGACTCTAAGTTTCCAAACAAGCATTTCACAGAAGTTATCCTCAGGTTCAGATATCCCCTTGTTATGTCAACACAAAAGGCCTGCTATTTGACCTTGTCTTCATTTGTAACACCGTTTGTTTACACCCGATAGGTATTCTCGGTCACACTGACACGCATGTTGAGCGGCAACTAAGGTCAGATTGACCAGTACAGAAGAACCAGGACGACAGAAAGTCCTTGACGTCTTAAAGCTGCGCCAGTGGCAGCCTCGGGGTTAACAGCATTTTGTATCAGGTTCACTACTTTTCAAAACAAATATCTCCTTGTTCCCGGTCGAGGCTCGGAAATCGGGCACGGCAGCGTACCTGGTGTTTTTTCTTGGCACACTAGCGTGAGTAAAAACTGTCTGAATAAGACTTCCTCACAGAGCTTAATTTGATCAGAGGTGTCATCGGTAATGTACATTGTTAGAACTTGTCACTTTCAGAAAGAAGAAAACAACATACATGTATCTTTCACCTAGTCCATGTGAAGTGCAAGTGGTTCAAGAACATCTCAATCTCAATCAATACTGTTGAATGGACTTACACTGGACTGTAATGTAGATACACAGATGCACAGATGCACAGATACACACAGATACACAGATGCATTATTTAGCTCATTTCAGTCTAAAACTGCATATTCTTGAGTGAGGAAGGTATGTTCAGAATGGCACACGATCAGCCTGCACTGGCTTGCTATCCTGTCTCGGAGTAGGGGAGGCGGCATGGGCCACGGGAGGTTCGCCCAGTTGCCTAGAGCGCCGCAATTTTCTCAGCAGAGTTGCGTCCCTTGGGTATTCCAGAGATCTATTATCTTGGGTTCGAATCCAGCGTCTATGTTTGTTAGCACATACCCGTGTTCGGGACTTCACCAAAGTGGTAAAGGTCTGACACCAACATCGCGACGGGCTTTCCTTACACATTAAGCACAGTCACTCGATATAACCAGGATACCTTTTAGTGCGGTGTTCCACCAAACTCGCTAATTCACCATCTGTCTGCACTGGTTAACATCTGTCTACACTAGACGCAAGAAGTAAAGCTCACTGAAACAGAACCCAGTCAGCACCGGGCACAAGGCCCAGACTAACTCCTACACACTGAAGGGCACATGCTTCACATCTTCGCCTCACAGGTTCTACATACAGGTGCTGCCCCCGGAGATCTCCACCAGGTAGCTGGTCGGGGAACCTGTGGCGGGGGCTTGTGTGCACAGATGAGAAAACTACGGCTCCCTGCTGTACCTCATTGTCTGCCCCGCCTGGAATGCTGGTGTTTGGTGTAAGTGTGACACCTTCAGTTACATCAACCCTTGTTTGTCCGGGGACATTTACGCCACCGGCGTTCCATACAAATGTTACTGTGACTTCTGGTAGGCGATGTTACTGTGACTTGTGGTAGGCGATGCTACTGTGACTTGTGGTAGGCGATGTTACAGTGACTTGTGGTAGGCGATGTTACATTGACTCGTGGTAGGCGATGTTGAGCGGCGACCGGATAAGCTGTACACTCGTAATTACGACAGAAGCTATGAGGACGGATTGTAAGTTTCAGTCAGGGCCAGCAGAAGATTAGTTTCAACAGAACCCAACATACTGAACGTGTACATTTTGTTCAGGACAATATCGATGCAAGATTGTAACATGAAATTATTCTTCACCGACTTAAGTTTATCTGATTTGGATAACCTTACAATTGGTCTCTCAGTCTTGTAGTGTTGCATGGTGTCTTAAGTACCTGTATTGTAGTGTCTGAGGTACGTGTAGACTGGACGATTCCCCATAGAACAAGAACTGTCCTTAAATAGTAACTTCTTCAACCGTATGTTTACCATATGTAATATATTTATTTATTACCTACGAGGGCGAAAATATCGGGGTTCATATTTTCATACGATGCCCTAGGGCAAAATATCACTTTGTCATGGTTACGTGACGTCATGAACAAAGCTATGACGTCACGTTTCTTCTGTGACGTAGCGTTCTACATGCGGCGAAGGTTACTCGATCTCGATCGGGAAATACCAACATTTAGGCACTCGTGTCGTAAACTTAGTATGACATGGGCACTCATATAATATCCTCTATATATATTGATGGAAAAGTCACCTACCTGTTGCTGGCTCGTTTCATTCAGCAGGACAACGAGTAGTGCCAACAGCAAATAATGGCTGATTATCCTGCAACAAAAATGAAAAGATATAAAATCTGGTCAATTAAAACCAGCAACGCCACAGGAAAACCTCGAATGTCTGCCTGTAAAAGTCAATGTCTGATTCCTAACGCTCCACCCAGCGTTAACAGTTGTTAGAACTATGAGATACGCTTTGTATCTGTTTGTAAAGCAGTATGAAGTGATGATTATTTAAACATCACTGGTGTTGGTCTGGGAGCGATCGTAAACCAACCTATGGATACAGAGGATGAAATCTCTGAATGAACCGACATCAGCTATGATAACAGTTTCAGTCATCGATGCATGTATCTGAATTGGGACATTTTTTTCGGATGGAATTAAGAATGATATAGCTGGATGAAGTGTTACCGTTTCAGCTTCAACAACCTGCGGGTGGAGACAAAGGGCAGCATGGCGGCATGATGTCGAGTCTGTGAAAGTGGCCAGTGATTGCACTTGGACAGACGAACGACTGACAGGACGCGCGAGGGGCGGGAGGACAGAAGGGACCACGGCAAGAATTCACACAAACTACGACTCATCCCACGTCTAAGATGCATAATATTTATTTCCTTTGAGGAACTTAATCCTGACCATGGGGAATAATTCTCCATGACGTTTGCATAAAATAATCTCTACTGTGGGAGTAGCAGAGGCCGCCAAAAAGACCTTGGGGTGCTACTTTAATTCCCATGTAAGTTTCACTTCTGAAAAGCCCAATGTTGATCATGGTGATCCGAGGTACAATAAAGGCACTCGGGATTAGTTCCATGTCGAGAAGGAAGGGGGTGTGAACTTACTTTGAACTCGACGAATATTATTTGGATCTTTTGTGAGCTATTTGGACACTGATCTTGCCATAAGCTTGATAGTATACCACAGAAGTATTGCATGTGTGTATTGCTAAATCTATATCCACCACACACAGCGACTGACTATGATGAACAGTTCTGAAACTGACAAGCAGTGAATATCCAATATTGTCTGTACACAGGTGATGGTGACTTCATTTGATATAGCATTGCGACAGGAGTAATATCCAATATTGTTTGTACACAGGTGATGGTGACTTCATTTGATATAGCATTGCGACAGGAGTAATATCCAATATTGTTTGTACACAGGTGATGGTGACTTCATTTGATATAGCATTGCGACAGTAGGGATGACGTTGACCAAGTAATGAACGTTCCTGTTGTATCAGAACATATTGCAGCAGCTCCAGCCTTGGTAGAGTAGGCTAACAACTAGGCCCTGAAATAAACATATTTTACCGAAAAAAGAGCTCATAGTGAAAAAAATAGAATATGATGAAAAGGAGCCCTGAGACTTTCTTCATTTTCAGATGCTGTGGAAATCTAGACTTGCCACATTTTCTAGACTTGCACGGGATTTCTTGGATATGTTTGCTTCAGGGTCTGTACGACAGACTATTTAACAGCACATCGTTTAGATACAGCCAACTCTTTCAACGAAGATTCACAGAGCGTCATACGAATCTTTCCCCCAGTGATTTGATCCGGGTGACAACATGCAGGGATTCAGTAAAGCTTTCAACCCATTTTGTGTTGATGACAATACCAAGTTTGACGCATTTCTGACAAAAATTATACAGTTTCCTATTTTGCCTTGTGCCGTATGTTTCCGTGTTCCAGGTGGACAACTGACGTGCCCTTGCATGTGTTTGTGTCGTGTTGCATCGGTACCAGGTGTCACAATCGTACAATGATCATGGAAACGATTGTTTCGTTATATTTACAACCTGAGCTACACTCAGAAACACAAAACCTCCTTTATGGCAGCAGCATTACATTGCCGTTAAAAACGATTCAATGATTACCGAAAGATGATTCAGAAATAAGTATGACAAAAGTGTTTTGATACGCAAACTGTACCCCTCAAAGTCTGCAGTATTAAACTGCAATGTTCATAAATTACGAATTAAATGCCAAGAAACTGCCTCAGGAAGCAAGTCTTCATATACTGAAATTCTACGGTGTATACAGTATACAACCTTCACTTGATTAATTTTCCCGAGTAAATACTTCTACCTTACACTAACTGCACCCCTGACACTGTAACAAGCACCTGTTTACATTGTATGCACTGCAGTGATGCCTAGTTAATGCCAGCTATATAACAACCACATATAATTCATTCTAAACCGACCCTATACATGATGCATCGTGTAGCAGCTACGTCTGGTATTTCATTCCTGTACGGCTTTGTGATTCCTAAGCTGTTCAGAATGCGGGCTTGCACAGTTTATACTCGACAAAAACTACAGGATTACCGAGATTGTTCCTGCACTGCTGGGATAGTATATTCAAGGCGGAGACGTAAAAACAAAGCTGTGTTCGCCTCCACCAATGCGATCCCCATACTGTGTAAACATAAGATGACATTCCACCTGTTGGCCGATACTGTATTTTCGTTGTCAAAGCATGAAAAACGCGACTAGGAAGCGAGGGTACTGCGCTTTACGCCTATATATGATAATCGGGCTAAATGCTTTTCAATAGGTGCAAAGTCTCAAAAAGACTTCAAGCAAATATAGAAAGCACCAGCGGGGGCGGCAGGTCAGAGTGTAGAAAAACGTGACGTGACTACTGCAAGGCGAATCACTTGGTCCGTGCTTTTCTTTTCCACCTCGCAGTTTTCTAGAAACAAAATGTACATGACTAGGCAACAAATTTCACCTGCATCCTTGAATTGTAATATTTCTGTGCTATACATGATCATCATGAAATCTTCTATTCAGGATAATGACCTACTATTGACCCCAATCAGAAATATATTCCTTCAACATAATATATCCGCTCTACGGCCATTCACTAACTTACGCAATATCAGATGCATTTAGTCGGCTTATAGATTCATAATTCAACATGAACATCGCGTTATAATAATCTAATAATCTGTAATTGACACCCATTTGGTCAGTGCTTGACAGGTGCTTGTTTTATGAGGTTTATTTTCACCATGTCTCGAACTACATAACAATAGGATTTGGAACTGTTCTATCAAAATCTCACAAAGGTGGCATTTTACTCTGTCAACGTGGGACCTAAAGTACTGATTTCGTTTGATTTGTGTACAAGGCGTATGTGGTATTCAAAAAGACGTGTCCATGACCTACAGATTAAGTATATCTATGAACAATGTATTCTTTAACTCTCTTCCCCAGATCATCAATATACCTGGCGTTGATGCAAAACGTCTTGGTCAAATTCAACGGTTTGGCAGTCCGGAAGAAATTCCGATTCCTATGTATAAAGAAGTATGTCTGCAAGATGAATAGCAATACTGTCGCTGTTGGGGGTGCCTACCTCTTACCTTTTATATGTACGTGTAACCATAAAGACTGTGGTGGACACAGTCGCCGAACATCAGACCAGGTCACATGATCACCTTTGGACGTAATGACATCAGTGTCATGACTGTATCTGTGTTCTATTGACTAGTTTTGATAGTTTCGTGTGTGTTTTTGACAATTATTACACGTTATTGATCCATTTTAATATCAGTAATATATTAGTCAATATGTTGAATCTAATGTCGGTGATAATAAGTGTAGCAGTAGCTGAGCAACAATAACGTAAACAGGTTTATTTGGACTAAAGCTATAGTTTCTTCAACATGATATGTGATATTACTGTGGATACTAGTGAGTGAGTGAGTGAGTTTAGTTTTACGCCACACTCAGCAATATTCCAGCTATATGGCGGCGGTCTGTAAATAATCGAGTCTGGGCCAGACAATCCAGTGATCAACAGCATGAGCATCGATCTACGCAATTGGGAACCGATGACATGTGTCAACGAAGTCAGCGAGCCTGACCACCCGATCCCGTTAGTCACCTCTTACGACAAGCATGGGTTACTGAAGATCAATTCTAACCCGGACCTTCACGGGTACTGTGGATACTAACATACAACCGATGATATGGTGCCATGTCAGTAAAACAGTTACGCAAGTGTGTGTCAGTTTAAGCCGACAGTTGTGTAGTCCGTGGTTGTTTACAGCAGTGGTGATATCCATTAAGCTGGTATGGAGCAGAAGAGCAGATGTCCAGTCTTCTCCCCCCGAGCAAACCTTGGACACTTGGACTGTTACAGTTATGTACCGTGGTCGTATGTAGTGCTACAATACAGTGACGTGCAAGGTGAGATGGGTTGGTGTAAGTGTCTACTGCTCGATACGGTACCTCGCTACATGTTTCCATGTCTATACTGGTGTCTGTGTGAGGAGCTAGTGGCGGGTGGCGGGTGGCAGGTGAACACTGCTGATTTGATCCGTTACACGCAGAACCTGGTCGGGATCAGTGAAAGGACGACTTCATTGATTATACCTTTTACAAACCAGAATATTAGTTAAATGCCAGCCACTAATGCCTAGTGAATGATGTCACTCACACTTGTACCTGTCACTTCCTTTTAATTGTGATCATTTACTATGTTCAGTGAGTCACCTCCCCACCCTTCTCTGTACGATCAGTAGGTAAAAAACATCAACTTTATGAATTCATCGTGTGATAATCCCTTCAATAATGCTGTCTAGTTTTCCAACAGTCGCCTGACAGTTTCCGTAGTCCATTAGTGTTAAATGTGTTGCTTACTCAATAGGCTCTGGTAGCATGAATCAGACACTGGTAGTGTTCTTCAGACCATTCTTTTTCAGTAGTGTATTGAAGACCGTTGTCCAGTTTTCATTAAAATATATATTACTTCATATGTACAACTTAGCAGTATTTAAATAACCAGTATAAGATAACATTCTCATATTATTGTTTTAGAATTTACACAGAATGTGATTTCTTTTATGTCATCCTATGCGACGTTACTTTCTACACTCCTATATATATTCCAAGTCGGTTATCTTTAAATTTAAACATAAACACGAACAATGAAAAGTCCCAGAAAACATAACTGACTGAAGATGACGAGTAGTGCTGGCACTTGAACAAGACAGCAATAGGGTGAAAGGCGACATCTCGCAAGCTCA